GAACCTGAGGGCCGCAGTCCCCTACCTATCTTTGCGTTTCTTCAAGTCCTAAGCCGCAACAATGGATCCTCGCGGCGCACGGCTGTTGACACAGCTCAGAACAAGAGGTCTAAAAGACATCCGATCGGATGCTTGTCAAAAGAGACGCGATTCCAAGGCCTCTGAGAGCTGCCAAGCCAAGGAGCCCAGAGATTGGAGATGCTATAAGTGATGCTGGGGTTTCTGGTAAGCCCCCAGAAGGGATAAGGGAAGGCACATACAACACAAGAGGCACAAAAAACACAGAAGGCACAATGGACAAGTGAAACGATGCACCCCGAGGCTGCTCTGTCCTGCACACCTCAGCACTGTGAACAAAAGTGAGGCTCTCCCACCGTGCGGCCTAAGGGGCCACAGCCTGGACCTCCCCGTCCCCAAAGCTGACTCAAATATCCCAGGTCACAAGTCCCGACCCGGCACCCCGCTTTCATCCCCTCTGCGGGTGGTAGCCTTCGACTCAGCTCTCGGATGCCCGCTGGGGAGGATCCACACGGAGCGCCAAAGAACGCCGCCTGGCTATCCGGGAAGTTCCTGCCATCGCCAGGCTGTCGTCTCTCCGTCAGCTACAAAAAATAAAACAGAAAATCAGCAGCTGATCTTTGCAGGGCGTCGGCCAAAACCCGACAATTCCGCTACTCACGGTCTCCTGCGAACGGCCGTGTCCTGAGGCCGCACGATACGGCCACGCCGGGACCAGGCAGCGTCGTCGCAGGGCGCGCCTGAGTTAAAAGAAGAAAAAGTGATGTGGCGTTGCTGAGACTTGAACAGGCCCTCGCTCCTCCCCCCGACATCCCCAACTCACGGGAAGCCCTCGGCCCCTTCCTGAAGGCCACCCACACGGCCCCTTTACGTGGAAAAGGCTCCGTCACGCGGTCCCTGTGACGCTTCCGCAGGGCTCACGGGAGCGGCGAAGCAGGCGTGCCGGCCGGCTGGCGACGGGGTCTCGACGAAACGCGACTGGACCGCCTAAAGCACGCAAACAAGAAGGGACGCTTGGCGTCGCACCAGAAACTGAGAGCCCAGCGATAACAACAGCCTCCCTCCACCGGTCAACGCTCACCTTGCCCACTTCACCTTGACTGCTGCCAGCCGGCTCTATTTCCTAAAAATAAAGACAAAGAGGAGACCTGTAACACAGGGACCGGTTCCAGTTGCCCTGCAAAGACAAACACTGACTTACCTTCTCGGGGGAACCCCCTTACCCTGGATGGGGCGCTCTGCCACCGATTTCATCCGTCCGCATCTGAAAGAAAGCTGAGACAAAAGTCAAAGTGCTGCAGGGTAACTTCACAGCTCCGGACATCTTGTGTTGATCTAGGGATATGTTCTAGACCCCAACTACACCCTACATCACAAAGTTCAAATTACAGGGGCCTGGGACTTGGCCTTGTACACCTACAGCCAGGCTGGGCAGCAGGGCAGAGCAGCTCCGGGACAACTACACCCAGACACCCGTGACACACCAGACACCCGACGAGGGGACACAATGGGGAGACAAAACTCTGGGCCACAAGGACGGCCACAAGGACTGAGAGAATGCGGAACGAGATGAGCCGGGTGAGAATGAAGGCGAGCTGATGAAGCTCACAGAACCCGGGAGGAAGAAGATGCTGATGGAACAATTAACTCCAGGAACTGCCAAGACAGATGCTCAAGAATCTTATGGTCGCAGTCCCCTACCTATCTTTGCGTTTCTTCAAGTCCTAAGCCGCAACAATGGATCCTCGCGGCGCACGGCTGTTGACACAGCTCGGAAGAAGACGTCTAAAAGACATCCGATCGGATGCTTTTCAAAAGAGACGCGATTCCAAGGCCTCTGAGAGCAGCCGAGCCGAGGAGCCCAGAGATTGGAGATGCTAAGAACGGCGTCAGGGTTTCTGGTAAGCCCCCAGAAGGGATAAGGGAAGGCACATACAACACGAGAGGCACAAAAGACACAGAAGGCACAATGGACAAGTGAAACGACGCACCCCGAGGCTGCTCTGTCCTGCACACCTCAGCACTGTGAACAAAAGTGAGGCTCTCCCACCGTGCGGCCTAAGGGGCCACAGCCTGGACCTCCCCGTCCCCAAAGCTGACTCAAATATTCCGAGTCACGAGTCCCGACTAGTCCCAACTTTCATCCACTCTGCGGATCTCAGTCATCGACTATGCTCTCGAATGCCCGCTGGGGAGGATCCACACGGAGCGCCAAGGAAGGCCGCCTCGCCATCCAGAAAGTTCCTGCCATCTCCAGGATATCATCTCCAGGTCAGCTACAATAAATAAAACAGAAAATCAGCAGCTGATCTTTGTAGGGCGTCAGCCAAAACCCGACAATTCCGCTACTCACGGTCTCCTATGAATGGCTGTGTCCTGAGGCCGCACGATACGGACATGCCGGGTGCCGGACGCCATCAGCACAGGGCACGCCTGAGTTAAGAGAAGAAAAAGTGATGTGGCATTGCTGAGACTTGAACAGGCCCTCGCTCCTCCCCCCGACATCCCCAACTCACGGGAAGCCCTCGGCCCCTTCCCGAAGGCCACCCACACGGCCCCTTTACGTGGAAAAGGCTCCGTCACGCGGTCCCTGTGACGCTTCCGCAGGGCTCACGGGAGCGGCGAAGCAGGCGTGCCGGCCGGCTGGCGACGGGGTCTCGACGAAACGCGACTGGACCGCCTAAAGCACGCAAACAAGGAGGGACGCTTGGCGTCGCACCAGAAACTGAGAGCCCAGCGATAACAACAGCCTCCCTCCACCGGTCAACGCTCACCTTGCCCACTTCACCTTGACTGCTGCTAGATGGCTCTATTTCCTAAAAATAAAGACAAAGAGGAGACCTGTAACACAGGGACCGGTTCCAGTTGCCCTGCAAAGACAAACACTGACTTACCTTCTCGGGGGAACCCCCTTACCCTGGATGGGGCGCTCTGCCACCGATTTCATCCGTCCGCATCTGAAAGAGAGCTGAGACAAAAGTCAAAGTGCTGCAGGGTAACTTCACAGCTCCGGACATCTTGTGTTGATCTAGGAATATGTTCTAGACCCCAACTACACCCTACATCACAAATTTCAAATTACAGGGGCCTGGGACTTGGCCTTTTACACCTACAGCCAGGCTGGGCAGCAGGGCAGAGCAGCTCCGGGACAACTACACCCAGACACCCGTGACACACCAGACACCCGACGAGGGGACACAATGGGGAGACAAAACTCTGGGCCACAAGGACGGCCGCAAGGACTGAGAGAATGCGGAACGAGATGAGCCGGGTGAGAATGAAGGCGAGCTGATGAAGCTCACAGAACCCGGGAGGAAGAAGATGCTGATGGAACAATTAACTCCAGGAACTGCCAAGACAGATGCTCAAGAACCTGAGGGCCGCAGTCCCCTACCTATCTTTGCGTTTCTTCAAGTCCTAAGCCGCAACAATGGATCCTCGCGGCGCACGGCTGTTGACACAGCTCAGAACAAGAGGTCTAAAAGACATCCGATCGGATGCTTTTCAAAAGAGACGCGATTCCAAGGCCTCTGAGAGCAGCCGAGCCGAGGAGCCCAGAGATTGGAGATGCTATAAGTGATGCTGGGGTTTCTGGTAAGCCCCCAGAAGAGATAGGGCAAGGCACGTACAACACAAGAGGCACAAAAGACACAGAAGGCACGACGGACAAGTGACACGCCACGCCCCGAGGCTGCTCTGTCCTGCACACCTCAGCACTGTGAACAAAAGTGAGGCTCTCCCACCGTGCGGCCTAAGGGGCCACAGCCTGGACCTCCCCGTCCCCAAAGCTGACTCAAATATTCCAGGTCACGAGTCCCGACTAGTCCCAACTTTCATCCACTCTGCGGATCTCAGTCATCGACTATGCTCTCGAATGCCCGCTGGGAAGGATCCACACGGAGCGCCAAGGAAGGCCGCCTCGCCATCCAGAAAGTTCCTGCCATCTCCAGGATATCATCTCCAGGTCAGCTACAAAAAATAAAACAGAAAATCAGCAGCTGATCTGTGCAGGGCGTCGGCCAAAACCCGACAATTCCGCTACTCACGGTCTCCTGTGAACGGCCGTGTCCTGAGGCCGCACGATACGGCCACGCCGGGACCAGGCAGCGTCGTCGCAGGGCGCGCCTGAGTTAAGAGAAGAAAAAGTGATGTG